GTATGCTTCTTTAGCTTTTATCCAATTTTATAGATTTTGGCTTGGATCTATACGTTGTATAGCTAGCAAATGAAAACTTCAAAGAAAGCTGCTTTCAGTTTGCTTTTACTAAGAATAAAACTAAGATATGTTTTATATTTTTCTTTATTTATGATCTTTATGTATGTTATTTAATGCGTTTACAAATGTCTCTTGCTGCCTGAAAGAAAAATAACACGCACACAGAAATTATATAACTGACATATTACAATGCTCTGTGTTAAATTTTGATTAAACCCATTTTTATATATATAATATATATATATATATATAGCGATCAGTTGACACTCTAGATCGTAGACGACGATCGATTCACATATACATAATATATAAATTAGATATCAAATACAAAAGCAGACGAAATGCATTTTCATACATTCTAAATGTACAAAGAAAAAAGAAAATTCAAAAATCATGTTAGTGAAATGATCAATAAACATAAAGGGGAGTAGGAGAACTAACAGAATGATGAATGGGGCAAAAAGGAAAAGTAAAAGGGAACAGCTTACGGGCTTTTGGGAAATAACTAACTGCATTTAACTAATTTAAACGCTGAGTAACTGGCAGCTTCTTGCGCCGTCGGCGCAGCTGCTGACTGCGGTCCCAGTACTCGTAATAGCGTTCCTGTTTTAACCACTCCTGATATTTATACCACCATTCCTCCCATTTGATGTAGTCCTGCCGAGAAACGAGAGATTTAATAGGTTAGATTATACGCATCTAGATTTGGAAAATTTACCCTTACCTTAAGATCCAAGTCCCTTAAATAACCGCGACTCTTGTAGTACTCGTAACGCACGCGCACATCATCCCACGACAGCATGCCCGACGGTGCTGTGGTGGCCAACTCCTCGGGAAAATGACCAGCCGGTGCCGGTGAGTACGAATAACGACGCGGCGGCGATTCCATACCCTCCTCGATCATCACTTTAAGCGCACCCCCTGCCGAATCTTTGGTTATGCGCATATTCTCCATATTGCTGCGATCGATGCTCCACTGAGCCATTTTGCCAAAGCGCTCGGAGAGCGTTAGACGGGTTGTCGCCGAAAATGAGGGTAGTGCAGGGGTCGCATCATCGCTATCGGAACCGCCCGAATCATCCGAATCAGATGACGAGTTGGCATTATTGCCGCTGGCACTGGCACTCGTCGTGACCGTCGCACTCGAATGCTTCTTTCGTTTCTCACCTTCGATTTTGACGCGCGTGCGTAACTGCAAAGTGGGATTGGCGGAACAGATTAGTGATTAGGATTATAAAGAGCCGGGGCTCACGTTACTAACCTCCTTTTCCTTCTTTTTCTTTTTGGCCTGCGGTGCTGCTGCTGCCGCTGCTGGTGCTGCAGGCTCTGGTGGCTCTGGCGGCCGATGCTTGAGACGCGGATCCTCTGGCGGCGGTGAATGACGCGACGCGCGACCGACTTTCATATGCGCATCCGACGCTAAACCGCGCTCGTGGCTTATACGCCGCATTTTCCCTTCGCGATATTTGTCAATGCCAGCACTACCACGCACCGGCGGCGGCGTTGTAGGACGTCCATGCAAGCGACCATGGGATTCTGACGGCGGCAATGGCGGCGGCGCACCGGCGCCCCGATAATGGCCACGTGGCTTAGGCGGCGGAGAACGCGGACCGCGAGATCTGCGAGCATTAAATAGAAAAAAATGAATAATGAAATTTATTCAAAAGGAAGCAAAGTGCACCATAATAAAAATGTCCAAAAAGAAAGCAAATCAGAATGGGCAGCCGAGGACTAAATACTCTTATACTGGACAATGCCAAGATTGATCAGATATATGTTATAGAGGTCGATTCCCACGAATATGTAGTTCATGCAACAGTAAGACGGACCAATGCAACAATTATCGACGATGTAAACAAAAAAACAGATGGACAAAGAGGCATGGCTACATCTGCTCGACTGTTATTACTGATCAGGAATATACTTATATATATGAATATATGATATTAAAAAACGATATTTGAATTTTTCGCTGCACTTGGAAATACTCATGTGGATAAATGGTTATCCATGTTAGTCAAAAACTCACCGAGATCTGTGACGATGACTGGGCGAGCACAGCGAACAGGAATCATCCGAGCTGCTGCTCATGGAGCTGTTGGAACGCGAGCGCATCGAATGCTGCAAAAGGATATGAAATGGATTAAATAGAATAAGTTAGCTAGTGCAAGTTAGTTACCCTTGGGGGCGGTGAGGGTGGACGCTTGGAGCGCGGCAAAATGTGCGCTGCGCCCATGCCACGTTTATCGATGCCCGACGAAGACGACGATGGCGGCGGCAGCGGTGGCGACCGACGCCGGCTGAGAGGTGAACGCGACGCGTTTGCCGGCTTGCGACGCAGCTGGGATGAGCCAGCGACTGGTTCGGGCGGCGAGCGCGGACGACCATGACCGTTACCCGGACGACGCAGCATGTCGCTGTTGCTATTGTGGTGGTTGTTGGGCGAGCGGGGCATGCTGCGCGGCGGCATGGGGGGCGAGCGTGGGCGGCCACGCAATGGCGGCGGTCCGTTATGATGTGACGAAGGCGGCGACATAACCCCCCTGCGCTCCATAAACTGCGGCGGCGGTGAGCGGCGTCGCGCATGAGATGGCGGCGGCGGCGACAGCGGCGGTGATTTGCGCAAACGCGAGCGACTTCGCGAATGCGGCGACCTGGAGCGGCCGTAACGCGCGGACGACGACGCCGGCGGCGGCGGGCCAGAGTTGGCCGGTGCCCCCGGATAACGGGAATAGCTGGCCTGCGCCGCATCGCGTTCACTTTCGCCGGAGCTGCTCTCGCCCTGAATGTACATTTTCTTGTAGCCGGTGTGGCGCCAGCGATTCGGGTCTTTCTCTTCGGCCTCGATCAGTTTCTTGTCCCAGTAATCGTTGGTTGTATTGGCACGTGCCTTCTTCATAACGTTGTCGATTTCGCGTCGCTTGCCGGCGGGCAAAGATGGATCTGCAAATTCATAACGTAATTGCGTTCTTTTAGTAACATTTACAGGGTACAAATAATATATTTATTTATTTCCAGTCCCATCCTATCACTTTCTAGTGATAATGTGGGTTAGGACTTCTTATACAAAAAATAGTGTTATTGTAAAAAATTATAACTTTAAGTTGTGGTATTTGCACACATTTGGATGTCACATCGCTGGCCCAGAAAGTTTCAGAATGTTTTAAAAATCAGACTATGTGGGGTGGGGCTAGGGAAGAAGGAAGCACAATCGTGACCTAGAAGTTAACAGCATCTCGCCACTGGACACAGGACCAGGTATCTCCTAGTCGTGCAAACCCGACCAGCTAGTTTCAGACTATATACAACGAAATATTCAGTTGGCCACAGATTATAAAATATTCGTTTGGAAGGAAGCGGAATTTGTTTCAACCTCGAACCGTTCGGTAAACAACGCACAATTTTCGTCTCTGCATCAGCCCACATGAACTGAACAGTCTTAAATTAAGTTTTTTTTTTTCGATATTTAAAAAAATGTATCTGCTAAAAATAAAATTGAAGGACCTTTTTTTGTGTTTCATACTACATGAGATTTTTAACCTGAGATAAAGGATCGAAAACGTTCCATCAATTTAAATTTTTAAACAAGTTGCATACCGTTTTTATGAAGACATTGTCTTAGCTATTTTATAATTTGCTGAATGTATTATCCCCGTTTTGATGCTAAAACTATTTAAATATAACGTTTTTTTTTAATTTGTTTTGTGCTACGACAAACTTCGATATATGCCGTATATCGATTTGTCGTCGTGCTGCTTACACCCATTTTACCGAGGGTATTAATCGATACATTTTTATCGATATACCTATTAGGTACCTGTTATGCGTGCAGCTGTCGGCTGTCTGTCCATGTGCAGTTTTGGATTCATTTCGGGGCGCCTGCGCGACGCCATTACGCGGAGCGTATCGCGATCTCTTTCGCGCACGATTAATTTGCTTTTCGGTTAATTCGCGCGCAACACTATCTCATTTTCTTCTTTCTTTTATATATATATCATAAAAAACACATACACAAAAAGCTGCAAATATATTACAATTGATTAAAAAACATGAGAGAAAGAGAGAGGCATTAGAAATGGCGTACAACAATAACAACATCAATAACAACAGCAACAATAAGAGATAGAAAACAGTTCCAGCGTAACAAACGTAAGAACGGGAGCAACACGCGCGCTTGGCAGCTTAAGCATAACGTTATAACGTTATTAACCCACACACATAGCTAACGCTTTATGAGCAATGTGTGTGACAGAGATGGAGAGAGACCGGGTCGCGACAAACAGCTGGAAACGTAAGCGACTTATACGTGCGCGTCGCGGCTGCCATAATAACGTACGTTCCCGCTGCCTAAACGAATTGTCGCCGATTCTTCAACCCAGGCCGCGGCACACATGGCCATGAAGGCCAATTAAATGCAATGTTTCAAAATTCATTTGTACTCGCGCAATGTACCGACGCGCGCACCGGCTTCTCATCGACATTTGTTGTGCTCCTGACGCACAGAGCGGCACACAACACAGACACACACGCACAGACATATGAATGTATGCATATATACATATATATATTTTTTTCTGTTTTTGCTTTGTCAGCGACAAATAATCGACACCGAACACGAACCGAAGATAGGCAATTAAGTTATGTTATGCTAATAAAAACGATAATTGCAGGCACTTAACTAATTTGCTTACATTTGTATACGTTTTGCGTGCACGCTTGTATAGTTTTTTGTTGGTTTAAAACACACAAATGGCAAACACGGCGCTTAAAATTTTCTCACACAATTTTTATGCGACGGCCATATTTGCGCTGGAACAGTGTGGCCAAACTCCAAATTATCTAGAAGCAATGCTAGCGCATCATTTACAAACAGAACTGTTAACTCAATGTTAAATGATATCGATATTTTATTATCACGCATCCCTACCGCACACACGTGGTTTCTTTTCAACAGCGTTTATAGAGTGCCGCGTGCGTCTGTAATTTGGATTGGTTTGCAGTTGAATTAAAAAGGAAAACTACACACATATAAAATGGGTAAGCCAGGTGAATTGCCCCTAAGCAACGTCAAGCACATTGTTGTGTATATCCAAAGGCACTTTTCCAGGGCCAAAACAATGCAACAAATGCTTAACCTACGAAAGCAATGTGTTTGAATATAATTTAAATCATCAATGTTTTTTCTTTATAGGTTTCAGTCCTCGTGGTGGTGGTGGCGGTAGAGGAGGTGGTGGCGGAGGTTTCCGCGGTGGCGCCGGACGTGGCGGCGGTGGCGATCGCAGAGGAGGCGGCGGCGGATTTGGTGGTCGTGGAGGTGGCGGTGGGGATCGCAGAGGAGGCGGCGGCGGATTTGGTGGTCGTGGAGGTGGCGGTGGTCGTGGTGGTGGCGGTGGCGGAGGCCGCGGAGCTGGTGGTCGCGGCGGCTTTGGTGGACGCGGCGGTGGTGGTCGCGGAGGCGGCGGCCGTGGTGGTGGTGCAGGCGGCTTCAAGGGCGGCAAAACAGTCACCATTGAGCCACATCGTCACGAGGGCGTGTTCATAGCCCGCGGCAAGGAGGATGCTCTGGTCACACGCAACTTCGTGCCCGGCTCAGAAGTGTACGGCGAGAAGCGCATTTCCGTTGAGGTGTGTAAACCAAGACTTTTGTTTTCACTTATGGCTGTCATATTGTGCTGTCCATGATGATGTTGTGCAGGGGTACAGAACATGGCAAAATGTGGCCATGAGCGTGCGTGGCGTCTGCCCGCCTGTGCGCACTCCAGGTGCGCGTTAAGCAGCTGCGGGTGGCGTCCACGTGACGCTTAGAACTATAGCACTACTGAGACATCTAATCCTGCAGTCACAGCATATCCCAGGGAGTTGGCTTTATCTGACACTTTTCTAATCCCTACCCACAGACTGGCGGCGAGAAGATTGAGTACCGTGTGTGGAATCCGTTCCGGTCCAAGTTGGCCGCTGCTATTTTGGGCGGCGTTGAGAAGATACACATGCCACCTGGCTCCAAGGTGCTGTATTTGGGTGCCGCATCGGGCACAACAGTGTCGCACGTTTCGGATGTTGTCGGGCCTGAGGGTCTGGTCTATGCTGTGGAATTCTCGCATCGGTCGGGCCGCGATCTGATAAACGTGGCGAAGAAGCGGACCAACATTATACCCATCATTGAGGACGCACGTCATCCACACAAGTATCGCATGCTGGTTGGCATGGTTGACACCATCTTTGCAGATGTGGCACAGCCGGATCAGGGTCGAATTGTGGCGCTGAATGCGCAACATTTCCTTAAGAATGGCGGCCACTTTGTCATCTCCATTAAGGCGTCCTGCATTGACTCCACGGCGCAACCGGAGGCGGTCTTTGCCGCCGAGGTTAAGAAGATGCAGGCGGACAAACTGAAACCACAGGAACAGCTGACGCTGGAACCCTACGAACGTGATCATGCTGTTGTCGTCGGCGTCTATCGTCCACCGCCGAAGCAGTGAAGTTCTATTGCGGAGAATGTGGTTAGGTTTTAAGCTATATACATAATACTTCTATTAATACAGTCGTATTGTATTAAGTTTCTTTTTAAATATACAACAAAAATCAAACAAACCATAGTTAAGTTTATAAACAAATGCAAACTATTTTTTGTAATTGACGTACAAAATATATCACAAAATAACAAAAATCAAATGTTTTTAAATTAGAAATAACTTTATTTTGGATAAAAACTACAAACATATTTAATATATTTTTCAAATAAAAAAGGAAAATAAAGAGATCACTCGCTGCGGACAGGATTCGAACCTGTGCGGGTAGAACCCAATGGATTTCAAGTCCATCTCCTTAACCACTCGGACACCGCAGCACATATCCAACTATTGTCAAAAATTGTAGTTAAAAATAGACTGTCTGCACCGCCATCTATGAAAATTAATTTGAAATGCCCTTAAGCGCCATCTGTTGTAAGAAAATATTGTAAGTTGAGACTACTGAGATAAGTTGTTAGCAGTTTGGCGCCGCTCGATTCGAAGCTGCGGTGTCCGAGTGGTTAAGGAGATGGACTTGAAATCCATTGGGTTCTACCCGCACAGGTTCGAATCCTGTCCGCAGCGGGCTAAACGAAAGTTTTTTCTTTCTTTTTGTCATCAAAGAAGTGGAGAAACAATTGATCTTGATTACATTTAATTAAATTACTTTATTTAGGATGGGTGCTGGTGTTGGTTTCAAAATATAACAAAGTACAGACAGATATCGTTTGCTTTACTGTTGTCGAGCATTTGCTTCAGGGACGAGACGAAACATTTTATCGCTTAATTCTACAAATATTGCTTGCTTGCATGCAGATTTTGGTAAAATTATTGATGATTCTGGCACACACACATAATACAAATAGGGAACAAAATGGTTAAACTTTAATTCTTATCAACTATTTAAAATCGTGAAATCGTCGCAATTTTTTTGTATCACCCAAATTGAGCGGAGAGCTTTTACAACTTGGCGCGCTTGGGCACGCCAACAGCCTCAAGGACACCGCAGCTCTCCAAGTGCTGGAACAGCGTCTCCAAGTACTCCTCACGATGTTTGATCAAATGGGCGGCATGCTGTGAACGCGGCCAGCACTTGAACGTCACCTTTATGTTGGCTCGCTCCCAGTTCTCGCGCACAGCCTGGTTGGAAGAGGGCGGGCCAATCGGATCGTTCTCGGATACAAAGAACAACGCCGGTGCCTTGAGCAGCGTCGAGTGGAACATCTGGCTGGAACGCATATAATGTATGGTGGCCTGATTGTGGAATGTCCTTAAATGGTAGAGCGTATAGTTGCGTAGAGCGCTCTGCATGCGCTCGTTCTTTGGGAATATTGATTTCGGCAAGCCGACTGGGATTTCGGTAATATCTGCGGCACTGTCCCAGATTTGGCAAACGAAACGATCCAATATGCTGCCATACCGATCCATATCACGCGACATTTGCAACATTATTTCGCCCATCTGATATGCGCCCACCGAGAAGCCATGCATCACAATCGGCGCGTACGATTTATTGTTCTCCAGAAATTTCAAAGTCTCCGCCGCGACCATCTGGCAAAAATAAAAGATAAAAAAACAAATAAACAAGTTGAGAAATGCGTCAACAAACGGCTATTCAATTTACGGCATCATCTACCTGTGTACCCTTGGCCGGCCAGAGCAGCTGCCAGGGTGTAATGTGCACCACCATTACGTCGAAGCCCATTTCCGTGTAGATTTGCGCATACTTTTTCAGGTGCTTCTGTTTGGCCATTAGCCAGGCCATCATCAGGACCAGCGGATTGCCCGAGGGCTTCTTAAAGGCCAGCGTTTTGGGATCCACTTCGATGTTCGCCTTGTTGTTCGTATAGAGCGTCATATTTTTGGTAATATCCTTCGAGGATAAATACCGCCGATTCTTCAACGGTGCCATTGCGCTCTGCATAAACAAATTAGATAAAATTCATTAGTTTCACTTGAAATATAAATCTATATATATTTAAAAATGTTTTTTTTTTTGCTAACAGAGTTGTGGCGAATTTCACCCAAAAGAGTGAAATACAAGTGGAAAATGGAACCAGATCAATATCAATTCCAATCAATTTATTAAATCCAGTTGAAATTGTTGCAGCAATTCCATACCAGGTGTTAGCTAGATAAAAACAGCTGGTATTGTGTGTGAATTGGATCAAATAAATAGTTTTAAGTTATATTTATACAATTCATGCCCAATATTGGCGTGGATAGGTCGAGTTGCTTTAATCGATTGCTCGATTTGATACGCTTGACTTTGACTGGCACGCCTCTATCAAAATCGCCTGATTGCTTAGCTTCGAGTGATTAGATATGCTGCTAAACTACCTGACAGCTGGCTATAGTATATATATATATATATATATATATATATATATATATATGTTTTAATATATAGTTTTATTCATGTCATGCGAATTAGCAGATAATGTTCTCATTAGTATTTAACAATTCTCTCTCTGGATTAGTGAGCACAATTTGGCCTTGAGGTCAATAAATCCAATTGAAGTTCAAAGATATTAACAAACTATTGATAAGATAATATAGTTAATATACACACTAGGGCAGTTATTATTAAGTTACACAACAATTAGTGTTAGATTCAATTACCATAAATTCTAATAAATAAAATTTTAATACAAATTCCTAGAGTATAACTTTTATAAGATATTCAAGATATATGGACACGGCGAGTGGAAATTCTTGACCGTCAGAAACACAGGTGTGCAACAAACTAAATTTAAACATTCTGCACAGCGCTAGCCGTAATCCCGCAGACATTACGTATAATCAATTGATAAGAAGGTTGCAATTTAGATAAGCGGCAAACAAAGTTGTGGGCGAATTTTAAGTGTTATCAGTCGCAAAATGTAGATTATACGTTTAGGCCAGCTACTGTGTCTTGAAAGTTATATATTTGATATTTGAGCACAAGACAGAAATTGCATTTAAATTCTAACAAAAAAAAAACAAACAAAGAACTCACAAGTCTCTGGCGCTTGTAGAACTTAAGCACTATAATCAATAATATGACAACTAGCGCAATTTGAATTATAAAATCCATAATTAGAATTATGTGCGACTGCAAAATGTATCCAACATGTATTTGCAGTTATAAAAGCTTTGATCGACTGTCTTCAAAGAGCTTAAAATATGGTGGGCGAGTGTGCCTAGTTTCCAATGCCGAACCATATAAATCTGGAAGGCATACAAATCTGTGTGTGTGTGTGTGTGTGTGTGTGTATGTGTGTAGTGCAGGGGGATCTGAGTTGCCATTGCGGCGGATTGAATTACTTTGCGGCAATGGAAGCGACCACCTTATGGAGCTTGGAAAATTGCAAACAGAGAGCCGCACGAGCGAGCTTGAGCCGAAAGCTTGACATTGAGCGCCATTATGATGATCTATCCATCCACACGAAAGTTGCCCCAATTGAGTGAGTGCAACTGTCGTACGGCAGAGGTCGCTTTTGCATTGATGCAGCCAAATTTAAAATTAAGGGTTCTACTAATGACTCTAAATGACAATCATTTGTTGGTTAGGTTAAGCGGCAAATATGAGTTAGGTAATTGCATATAATTAAGCTCATATATATACAACACATGTATATTATTAGCCGGCAAATCATTCAAACGACAAACTTAATCATTTTTTGCCGGGAACAAAGTTCACAACATTGCACACACAGCTCATTGACCAGCGCGCTGTAGCTTAACATTCAAGATGTTATCGCTTCATTGGAGCTCTGGTAACATAGTAAATGTTATGCTTGCTATGTATGTTGCGGGAGATGCTGATGTTATAGACAGTGTTGCCAACTGACGCTTCAAAACAGTAGCTAAATCCAATGTTAAAAATAGCTTTTTTAAAAAAGCTACATATTTAGCTATAAACAAACTAAATTAACAACACTGTTTGCTGTGTATGTTAGGGAAGCTGCCAATAATAATGTTATAGAATGTATATGGCTTTTGTTCTGTTAGGTGAAATGCATGTTAATGTTATGTTAATAATGTAATGTTAAGCGACAGCAACAGCTGCAAATTGCAAATAAAATTTGATTATACAAAAAAAATTAGAGCGTATAAATTAGTATTGATTGGCAAACAATTAAAGCAAGGCAGAGCAAAGCAAAAACCCAAATATGCACACATACATATATATAGTCAGTCAAATAAATATTCATAAACATTGTGTATGTAAATATTAATGCTTACATGACCCACCAGTTGCGTTTGTAGGCTTGAAAAATTGCGAGCCAGCGGCCGTTGCATTCCCCGGTACTCAGCCAGCGGCCCCTGTAATAGACCATTGTCCTTGCCGGCGGGCATGGGGACGGCGCCGGAGCCGCTAAAGAATCTATCCGCATAGACGTTCTCATATGGGACGGCGGCGGCACGATTATTCTGTGCTGTAAATTGTTGGTTTGTTGTGGGTGGGAGCAGGACAGATACATACAGTAAATACATATATATATACAGTTAAAACTTTTTGCATTGTGTGTGTGGTTGTAAAATTTGAACATTTACCACCAAAGGAGAGGCCCACGGCAAGTGTTGCGGCCGTGCGGCCGGCGGCAAACGGTAGATTTATTGATTTTTTCGCTGCAGTTGCGTAAAATGCAGTGCGAAAGAAATGCGAAGCCATTGTTTATACGTATTTGTTTATCGAAAACGTGAGGAGCTTGGAAAAAAGAAACGGCATTTGACAACAAATATTTAATATAATTTATGAGCAGTATGTATGCATCTTCACACACACACACACACACACACACATAGATACATTAAAGCAAACGCACACCTAAGCAAGCGATGCACAAAAAATGAACTTTGGACCTGACTGTCGGATGCAGACGAGTTTAATTTAAATTAAATTGGTACACATATATTTATATATGCATGTACAATATACGCAATTGGTGTGTGCGTGTGTTTGTGTTTGTCTGTGTGTGTGCGCGTATGCGTAACTGATAGATGCACTATGAAATTTAATGAAGGGTAATAACATAGATGAACTGCACTTACGCTTTTCAATCGTCTGACACTTGCTATATTGTTTACCTATACCCAAAAACACACAGACACAGTCTGAGAACCAAAACGAAAATGAATTACGCCGCTCTTGCGCGTCTTTGTTGTCCGAAAACAACAAACACTGTGTGCCTGCAATGCGCCAAATGCAAGAATACCAAAATAATGTGTTATCGATAAATATAGCTCTTGCAGGTAATCGATCGTATAGCACATATGTGGGTGCATTAAAATTATACTGGAGTTGCTTTCTCTTAGTTAGGTTCTATTTTAAATATATCGACTATTGTTTATATTCAGGCATTTAACCATTTTATTTATGTGTCCTCCTTCGATAAGAATTTGGGGATTTTGTACTTCAGAATTTATTTCCTTTAAGCTGAACTTCTAGTTGGGCCAAGCAAAACAGCTGGTGTCATTCCACTATAAAGCTCATCGCTAGCTAAAGTTAATCGAATTTGCAAAGCTGCATCATTTAGAGCGCCGTCGCGTTACATATTGGAATATTGTTATTATTTGTTTGCATTTTATATGGCGCAGCAATGTCCTGGCCCTTCAAATTGGCTGTTGCCTTGCAAGAATTTAGCGCCAGTGTGCCAGCACCAGCTGCCTCTGCAAGCAGCAACAGTTGCACCAATCGCTGTGGCTGCAAATGCAAATGCTGCAGCGGCTACATCCAAAAGTACGTAAACTTTGATGCGGAGGCAACGGCATCCGGCGGACCAGTGCAGAAGATGGTGCGTTTCAGCACCGCAGACATGATGCTGCTGCTCCGTGTGGCTCAATCGTGTGAACATTTTTGGAGCAATCAGTATTATAAGGTGGATTTGCTGCCGGATTACAAGACGCTGGGCGCCGCTTTTGAAGCACAGGAGAGCGCCATTAACGTAGCCCAATTGGAGCAAATTGTGGATACGATTACAACTGGCTATCGCCGTGCCGTGGCCAAGCTGCGGGACACTGAGGCGCATGCTGCCCTCAGGCCAACGGCAGCAGCTCCTTGCTTCCCGGGTTTGCGTTGTAGCTGCGCAGACTGTGCGCTAATGCCCTGGCGCAGGCTGCAGCAACTGGAGGCACATCAGTGGCTGCACAAGCCCAGCGACAATTGGCACTGTCGCTTATGCTATCGTCGCTACTTTATTCAGCACACGTTACTTTCGCATTTGAGCAGGCGCACGAGGCGGGACGAGGTGGGCCAGCTCCTGGAGAATGAGGCCTACAAGCTAATGCTCTCGGCGCAGCAGCAACAGGAGCAGGCCGAGCAGCAGGAACGGTCTGCACGAGTGGAGCAACTGCATGTGCGCATGCCCAAAGGCACCCACCTAGACTTTGTGTCGGAGTCGGAGGTGCGTGTGCCGCCAGCGCCGCGCAAGCGCTGCAAGCTCACCGCTTGCCCAAAGTGCAGTCACAGTTACCTGCACAGCTACAGCCATCAGTTGCATATGCAGAGGCAGCATGCGATGATGCAGAGCACCCGGCGCTGGCAATGTCCCAGTTGCGCGCGCAGTTTTCGAACGCGTCGAATTTATTTAAAGCATTTAAAAAGCGTACGCGATGCCTGTCGCCTGCGTGTGCGTAGATTCAAATGCTCCAGGTGCAAGTGGCGCTTCCAGTTGGAGTGTTCCCTTCGGCCGCATGTGGCCCAGGCTCACGTGCGCAACTATAGTTGCCTCATATGCAATTTGCCATCGCAGAGCCGCTGCTGTGATAGACACAGCCGGGAGGAAGCTCGAGTGGCGGTTGGTGAGCACATGAGACAACGCCGCCTGGAACTGGGACATCCTCCACCACCAGAACGCAAAAAGCCCTTTAAGGTCGTGTGTAGCACATGCCAAAAGGAATTTCCGAATAGATTTCTGCTCAATATACATGTGAATCGAGTTCACTTGAAACGGAAGGACTTCATCTGCGAAACGTGCGGCAAGAGCTTTTGGAGCAGAAAGGAAATTGAAGAGCATAGGCGGAAGGTGCATCTGATGGCTGACACAATTTTCTGCGAACTCTGCAGCTTGACGATCAAGGAGAAAGGGAACTATCAGCGCCACTGCGATAGCATTCGTCACGTCACCAATCTGGCAAAGTCGAAGGGCATTACGCTCGTCGAGAAGCCTGTGTCAAAGGGGCCGCCGATTTATTGTAAATGCTGCGATCGCACACTCAAGGGACCTTCCACGTTTTACCATCATTGCAAAACCAAGAAACATAAGCGGCGCGCAGCGGAGCAAGACCAGAAACCCGATCATGTTGATAATGTTCTAAACTACTAGGTCTAAGTCTACTCAAATAGTATAGTTTCCGTTGAGATTAACTCGTTCCTTACATGGCCATCCTTAAGAGTTGTATATAAGTCGACCTTCGTTTAAGCAGCACTATTTCATATGATTCCATTTTATTCTAGATTTCTTTTTTTTGTATATGTTTTCGGGATTAAGGACGAGCTCTAGCGTTATTAAGTCCACTTGAATTTCGCATTGATTGTAAATGTTGTTGCATTCCTGAGTGCGTATACGAAAATTGAACAGTCTCGATTTTGTTAATGAAAACTTTCTGAATATTATGTAATGAATGTTATATTATTTATATATATATGTTGTTACAAATAAGAACGTTTTGATTCACGAAATGTAATTTTACTTTGTTAAAGGTTTGGATTTCTAAAATGTTCATTTACACACACATTTATTGGATATGACATATTATTATTAATTATTTCTTAAAGTCAATTGAAAATGTTATTTAAAATTTAAAAAATGCAGTTCTATTTCATTCTGAAAAGAACAAGCCATCTTATTTAAAAAAATAAATAAATTTATAATGTGATGCATTCAAAACGACGATTAAATAATATATATAATAATTAAACTAAATGGAAAAGGTTAAGTCGACTCAAATGTTGAGTTAATTGTTAATTAAGTATTAGAAAAACAGAAAGACAAACTCGTTTTGATTAACATTTTCTATAGGAAACAAAATCTAAAACTGAAGGAAAGAAGGATAAATAAACTGTGAAGAAAGCGAATAGGTTTGTTTGTAGCTTTGGATAAGACGTTGCCATGTGACGAATCGTGGAACGATTGACCAAACTTAGTAACTACAAGATTATAGTTCGTATGAGCATAAGCGTTTAGAACTATTTTCTATTATTCGTCGTGCTGACGTTCGCTTTCCTTGTTTTTATATTACACAGGATAGATAGATACAAGATACAAATAACTTCAGAAGCCAGCAAATAGTGCTTACAAATTAGTAGTACTTTTTATATTGGTTTTAATATAATTAACTTTTATGCTTAATAGAAAACAACACATAAAACTAATTGCGATGCAAACTACTGTGTCGTCAACTTGGCATCCAATTGGGCCAGATCGACGCCCAGCTCAATGAGGCGTTTCTCCTGCTCCTTGGTGTCCAGTCCATGCTCTTTGTTGTACCTATAGTTGACAGTGAGCTGAACCTCCTCCAAGCCACTGACATGATCATACAGATTTCCTTCTAGGCGCAGATCAATGTCGCTCTCCTCCCGCAAAATGCAAAAGTAGACCAGAAATAGAGCCAAGCTGGCGGAGATGACGTAGGGCTGATACCATAGGGAATCATCGCTACCACCGCTGCGAGTGTCGCGGGCGCGCCAAGTGGCTGCTTGGCTGCCAAAGAATTCTATGGGCTCATTGCTAATTGGCTCCTCATCCTTGGACCCAATGTTGCTGCTGCCGCCGCTGGGCACCTTTTGTGCATGGCCACGAATGCCTGCGGCAGGTATAAGCGATCTGCAACATGTTGTTATTATTATGCGACATGAATTAAGCGGGTTAATTTATATACCTGAAAGCACGAGCTTTTGTCATCAAACGCAGCATCTTGATGGCAGCCAACAAAATTTCATAACAATTGTCCCAACAGCTGTTTACCGGTCGGCAGTTATCGAAACCTATCGATATTTATTACTTGCCGGCAACACAAATTAGGGATGAGCGATGATTTCACCAATTATATCGCGTTCACTCGCACACGTGTTGTGTTGGCTGAAAGGTGTAAACACGCGTTGCATTTAAGCGCATAGAAATGGGCGCAACTAAAAATATGGACCTCATAGGCACTATTGAGGATGATGCCGAGGTAGAAAATCTGTCTGAAGACTCGGATGCCGAAGTTGAAGTAAGTATACAATTAAAACAGTGGCTACGCAGCCTCTAACATTCTCCTCACGCTGCAGTATCAGCCGACCAAGCTACGGCACAAAAAGGTGACCGAGTTTGAGAAGGGATTCGAGTTCGTTTCCTCGGTGAAGGAGTACAATCAGGACACTTGGGATGATCTGATGAAATATGTCAAGCGCAAGGCACGTACAAAGACCGACGACAAAATTGCCGCACGCCTGCAACAACGCGGTGGCGCCGAGGCTGTGGCCGCGGAGCAGAGCGACGAAGAGATAGCGCTCTCCGATGATGAGCTAAAGCACGACAATCTGCGACTGCGTGAAAAGAAACAGAGCAAGAACAAAAAGAAGAAATCCGCCGAAGATGACTTGGACGAGGAGGAAGGCGAAAAAATGCAATTCGATGACACTGTGGAGGCCAACGAGCTAATCACCTCGTTCTATCAAATGAATCTGTCGCGTCCGCTCATGCGCGCCATCGGCGTGCTCGGCTACATTTATCCCACACCTATTCAGGCGTCTACCATACCCGTGGCGCTGCTAGGTCGCGACATTTGCGGCTGTGCGGCCACCGGTACAGGCAAAACAGCAGCTTATATGCTGCCCACGGTGGAGCGTCTGCTTTACCGGCCACTAAACAACAAGGCTATTACGCGGGTGCTGGTGCTGGTACCCACGCGTGAGCTGGGTGCCCAGGTCTACCAGGTGACCAAGCAGCTGTGCCAGTTTACCAGCATTGATGTGGGCCTTGCCATCGGTGGTCTGGATGTTAAGGCGCAGGAAACAGTGCTCCGTCAGAATCCGGATATTGTGATTGCTACGCCGGGTCGTCTTATCGATCACATCAAGAATACACCCAGTTTCAGCTTGGATTCCATTGAGGTAAGCGAACACTGGGGTAAAATGCAAAAACCCAGGCAAAAGATGATGAATTTCAATCCTTGCGCTCCGAGCTTTTCGAAGCTATGCGGATAAAACTCTGGTACTTGCAACTGCGCTGCAGCTGCAAGCTGATTGCCAATAATTTGGGGATCTATGGTATCCATAAAATAAGGGTAGCTAAAAACTGCTATCTACATTGCAGGTGCTTATTTTGGATGAGGCCGACCGCATGCTGGACGAGTATTTTGCTGAGCAAATGAAGGAGATTATCAACTCCTGCTGCAAGACGCGCCAGACGATGCTCTTCTCGGCTACCATGAGCGAGCAGGTCAAGGATCTGGCCGCCGTCTCGCTGGACAAGCCCGTCAAAGTGTTCGTCAACAATAACCAACAGGTGGCCTTTAATTTGAGACAAGAGTTTATACGCATACGCGAGGATAAGGAGGGCGATCGTGAGCCCATTTTGGCCAGTTTGATTTGTCGCACTTTCCACGATCATTGCATGGTCTTTGTGCAGACCAAGAAGCAGGCTCATCGACTTCACATTCTGCTCGGTTTGCTGGGAGTGCGCGCTGGGGAGTTGCACGGTAATCTGACGCAGCAGCAACGTCTGGAGTCGCTTAAGAAGTTCAAGGAGGAGCAAATTGATGTGCTGATTGCCACCGATGTGGCGGCCCGTGGTCTCGACATTGTGGGCGTTAAGACGGTCATCAATTTCGTGATGCCTATTACCACGGAGCACTATATACATCGTGTGGGTCGTACGGCGCGTGCCGGGCGAGCTGGCATCTCAGTATCTCTGGCCGGCGAGAAGGAGCGCAAAATCGTTAAGGACATCATTAAAAACGCCGAGAGCAGTGTGAAGAATCGCATCATACCACCAGAGATCATTGAGAAGTATCGCAATAAGCTGACGGCACTGGAGCCCGAAATACGTAAGCAAGTTATACTACAAAAATGTACTTTTATTGATTTTGTTGCCGATTTTACCAGAAAACATACTCGACGAGGAGCAGGCAGAACGTCAGCTGGCCAAAACGGAACAGCAGCTGTCTAAAACCGAACGTAAACTGCTAGGCCAACCCAACGAAAGACGCACCTGGTTCCAAACCAAGCAGCAGCGTGAGAATGAAAAAGCTCGTCTAGCGCTCACCTCCAACGACGACGAGTCCAAGCCAGCGCCAGCAGCTGGTAAAGGGAAATTGGCGGGTAAACGCAAGCGTCCAGAGTACGGCGGCGATGGCGAGGACGGCCCACCAGTTAAGGAGCTAGACGCTAAGCGCAAAAAGAAGAAGAAGGAGGAGCCCAGAAAGAAAACACCAGAACAGCTCGCCAAGGAGCGCGCCATGAAGGAAATTGAAAAGGTTTCGCTGGTGCGCGCCAAAATGGCGAAGCTACGCAAACGACCTGGCAAACTGGGTGCTGCCACCGATGCCCCGAAATATGTTGGCTCTACCGGAGGCAAGCCCAAGCGACGTGGCGGACAATCTGCCTTCACCAATGATCTAACTGATGTCAGTCGCAGCGGTGCACTGCGTCTAAGGTGAGTTAAAACTGCCTGGCAATGGACGTTCGAAACTTAAACTTAATGTATGTACCAACAGATCCGAGGCCAATCGCCACAAGAAGATGACTAAAATTGCTGTTAAGAAGAAAACAAGCACCGTGAAGTTAACCAATAAGGCGGGTAAAAACAAATTTAACAAAGGCAAAAACTTTGGTGGTCCACGTTATGCGAAAAAGGATAAAAAGAAATAGTACACATACAAATAAAACGAAAAAATTAAATAATCAGCTTAATTTACATGTAAATAAACATGAATATAATATATCAAAACATATAACATATTAACTTGGATTATTATTCGCTATTCAAAGACGGATTGAAACCAAGCTGTTCAGTGTGACCAGCACATTATTAAGTTTCAGCAACTGGTGCATTTCTCGCCTGTGCGCTTTGGCCACACTGCGTTCTAAGCTTTTCCATTTTATTTAGTTTTTTGCTTTACGCTGCGCAATTTTTTAAGTATTATAATTGGGATGTACTAAAGAAAATTTACCAAAATGACCGACAAATGTATTTTTGGCCCACCGCCGGACTCGGATGATTCAGATTGCAGCAGCTATGACGGCTTTTACTTCTCTGAACCTGTAAGCAAATTTCTTGGTTCCCGCATTTTGTTGACCACAAGCCACTTCTTATTTAGCTGAAGCGGGAGAAGTTCGTTCCGCCCGTGCAACGCGGCCAAAAGCTGCTCGATGCACTGCTGGAGGGCAATTTACAGTGTGTGCGCGAAGAAATCGACGCGCTCCAATTCCATGTGGATGAGATCGTATGCGGAGGCCTCACCATGCTGATGTATGCCTGTCGCGAGGGGCACTACGAGGTGGCCGATTACCTGGTCAACCAGCTCGGAGCTAATGTTAACAAGCAGGTAGACTCTACAATGCCGCTGATGTTTGCCTGTGACTGCCAGGCGAACGACTCGTATGTGGCTGAGAAGCTCGTACGCCTGCTGCTGAGCAAGGGCGCTGTCATCAATGTGTCCGACAAGTATGGCCTGACGCCTTTTATGTTTGCCTGCCGCAGAGGCTACACTAACGTTGTGCGCCTGCTGATCAAGGAGGTGAGCTTCGATGCGATCGACAATCAGGGCTGCACGCCCATCTTTCATGCGATTGAGAACAATCATGCTGACATAGTCAAGTTGCTGGTGGATGCGGGCGTTAATGCCAGCCTGGCCAACAACAAGGGCTACACGCCCAAGCAGGTGGCCGAATTTCATGGCTTTTATGATCTGCTTGAGCTGCTGCCGCGTGATCCTGCTGCCACTTACATGGTGCCGACGGAGTTCCTCGGCTACAACACGCTGCGTGATCATGTGCCACGCATTTTTCTGAAAACCGAGTGTCCGGAGTACTTTCAGGAGCTGAGCGGCATATTAAACTCTGTGGATATGGCAAATATGCTGGAATATTTTGCTAAAGCGCGCACCTCACTGGCCGAATTCCTTATTATGGATGATGAAAAGCTCAGCAAGATAGGCGTAAAGTTTCCGATCTATCGTAACAAGATCAGGAAGGGCATACTAGAGTAAGTGCTAACTGGGTCCTAAGTCATATATTTATTAATTTACTACTTACCTACGTCCTGTACATAGCTTTCACTTGCATCACTGGTCTAGGAAATCCATTGCACGGGTTAAAAAGGACGGCATGGATAAGTAAATTAAACCCATTAAGTTGTCGAGCACTCTTTTAATTTACTTTTAAATCGCAGCTTCTATGAGATCCTTATGATCACCGCCAATCACTTACAGCACTTGGTTATCATACAAGCCTCGCTGCGCTTCGTCATTCAGAATCAGATGAAAGGCGAACTTGGCCAGCCATTGGAAATGCAGTTAACCAACTTGCGGAGCAATTTGAGAGCATATCGCGGCGTTATAGACGATCTAACCAAGACGGTTAAATATGTGCGCAAGTATATTTATAAGTATATCGAGCCTATTAATAACCAACGAATTTAACAGCTTGCTTCGTTCAGTCCGGACAAGAGTCCGCTATATATTGACTACAATGAGATTCTCGCCGAGCGCAAGCGACGCAAGGTGCGCAGCGTCTTCAAATACACAACCATTATTTTGGGCATATCCGTATTTATTTGCTTAAAATGTAAATGGTCCTTTTAAACGCGTACACAAGCGCAAGCCCAGCACACGAATAATAGTGTTAGTTTCAAGAATTTCCGTTAAAGCTTAAACACACAACTCAGTACAAATAACCGTAAACTAATTCATTAATCATTTCGAAAATTCTCGAATCAAAATAGGTTTAGTTAAAACGCTTTATGAACTGTTATTTGAAGTTTATGTTTAACAATAAATGTGTTAAAAAAAAGTTAATTGTTAATAAAAATTAACAAAAACAAATTTTGGATTTAAATCGAAGAACTGTCGTCACAGCTTCTACAATCGATAAGCTATACAAAGACCAGATTATCCATTTTCAAAAGTCGATAAATCGATATTTTTTAAGTGACATCACTAGTTTGTTTACAATGCTCAGTTAAGCAGCGAAATTTTGGCGCCATTATGGAGCCTGGAGTCATAAAAAAGCTAGATGAGGTGGTTGTCAATCGAATAGCCGCCGGTGAAATTATTCAGCGTCCGGCAAATGCACTGAAGGAGCTGTTAGAAAACAGTCTGGATGCCAAATCGAGTCACATTCAGGTCACCATCAAGTCCGGCGGCCTCAAGCTGCTTGAAATCCAAGACAATGGCACTGGCATACGCAAGGACGATTTGTCCATTGTTTGCGAGCGCTTTACCACCTCCAAGCTGAGCAAATTTGAGGATCTGACAGAAATTGCAACATTCGGTTTTCGTGGCGAGGCACTAGCTAGCATTAGCCATGTAGCCCATTTGAGCATACAAACCAAGACGGCCAGCGAGCGCTGCGGCTACAAGGCCGCCTACTCGGATGGCAAGCTGCTGGCCCCACCAAAACCGTGTGCCGGCAATCAGGGCACTATCATTACCATTGAGGATTTGTTCTATACAATGCCACAGCGTCGTCAGGCGCTCAAATCCCCTGCGGAAGAGTTCCAAAAAATATCCGATGTGCTAGCCAAGTACGCTGTGCACAATCCACAGGTGGGTTTCGTTCTACGCAAGCAAGGCGAACAGCCGACACTGAAGACGCAAGCGCGCAGTTCGCGGGCGGAAAATATTCGCTCCATTTACGGCGCCGCCGTTGCCAAGGAGCTGATGGACTTTAGCCATAAGGATGATATGTTCAAGTTTGAACTGGAGTGCCAGCTTACCCAGGTTAACTATGCGGTAAAGAAGTCAACGCTGCTGTTGTTTATTAATCATCGACTGGTCGATTCGCCGGGTGAGTGGTTGATATTAGAATTGCATCGCTTGCTAATCCTCTCGAGCCTTCAGCACTTAAGGCCGCTGTGGATGCTGTGTATGCCACTTATTTGCCACGAGGTCAACATCCTTTTGTTTACATGAGCCTTATGCTGCCGCCACAAAACCTGGACGTTAATGTACATCCCACTAAGCATGAGGTGCACTTTCTTTACCAAGAAGAGATCATTGAGCGCATCAAGCAACAAATGGAGGCTAAGCTATTGGGCAGCAATGCTACCAGAAGCTTTTACAAGCAGCTCAAGCTGCCAGGCAGCTCGGAACTGGAAGTAACCCAAACTCAGGACAAAACTCAACGCATCTACGAAAAGGAAATGGTTCGCACCGATTCCACAGAGCAAAAGCTGGATAAGTTTTTTAAGACGCTGGAGAAAAGTGATTCTGGCCTGTCGTCCAGCTCCGGCAATGAAACGCCAGCGGCAACACAGGACGAAAGCTTTCGGCTAACAGCGGCGCGCAAATCAAAAGAGGTGCGTCTAACCAGCGTGCTGAATATGCAGCAGCGTGTAGAGCGCCAGTGCCATGTGCCACTACGCACCATTTTGAAGCAGCTTGTCTATGTGGGATGTGTGGATGAACGGCGTGCGCTCTTTCAGCACGAAACGCGCCTGTACATGTGCAATACTTTCGCCTTGAGCGAGGAACTATTTTACCAGCGATTGATCTACGAGTTCCAGAACTGTGCAGAGATAAGCGTGGTGCCGCCACTGCCGCTGCAGCAGCTGTTGCTTATTGCACTGGACAGTCGTGCCGCCGGCTGGGTGCCGGAGGATGGTGACAAAACGGAGCTGGCTGCCAATGCGGTGTGCATACTGCAGGAAAAGGCGCCAATTATGCGCGAGTATTTCGCTTTGCGCATTTCGGAGCAGGGCTGCCTGGAATCCTTACCAGCACTGCTGGCACAACACATTCCCAGCCACGCACAGCTGCCTATTTATCTGCTGCGGCTGGCCACCGAGGTTGACTGGGAGCAGGAGGCGCAATGTTTTGAGACTTTCTGTCGCGAAACGGCGCGCTATTATGCCCAGCTAGACTGGCAGGATGATGGCGATATGCGCAGCCAGCACTGGTACATGGAGCACGTGCTGTTTCCAAGCTTTAAGAAGTTTCTCCTGCCACCGGCGCGACTAAAGCAGCATCTGTACGAGCTGACCAGTTTGCCCACCTTGTACAAGGTCTTTGAACGTTGTTAGCTATTGATATTATAATAAAGCGTCCTGATGCTCCGATTGAAGGCATAAATTCAAATAACATTTTAAATTTGCAATTTAATCATAACAAAGAGGTTTAATAAACAATACCTATACCTAGTACTAGCTAACTAATTTAACTAAGCACAACCAGCCCTGCAATAAATCGAGTAAAAATGTGTGTATGTGTGTGTGTACATTAAATTATGGTTTGTATTGTATTTGTGTAGTGTTCTGTGTGTGTGTGTGGGTGTGTGTGTGTAAGGATGATCGAGTGTATATCGTCTGTATCCACATATTCTGCAGCAAGCTTTGTTCTTGTTCAATTCGTCAAACGTAAAACGAAATACTTTGTCTAAAGCACGAAACCGGAAGGTGGGGGAAGCCACAGGGAAAACCATACCCAAGGCAGACCGCAAGTTTTGTCGCCTTGTTTACGTTTTCCCCACAAAATATTAGTTCTGCCGGTAATAGGTCAGTTCTGGCTGCCGTAGCCGTGTGATCTTCTCCGCATTTTTGACGTGTTGCTTCAGTAGCTTCATGATCTCCGTTTCATATTGCTCTGGAGTTGGCTTAACGCCGGTCGCCCAGTAATAAATATCCCAATCGTTGCTAACGCCATTGATGAGTTCATCGTAGATCGCCGTCTGTTTGGCATCGAAATTCTTGAGGTATTTGTGCGCAAAGGTGCTCAAT